TCCCGCCACGCTCTGTCTCTCTGTCTCTCACAAATAAATAAACGTTAAAAAAATTTTTTTAAAAACTTACATGTAACACGTATTTACGGTTATTATTCCGTTCCCGCTGAAAACCAATAAAACTTGCACGCTTCAAGAAAACTTCAGTTTAAAAGTGCAGGTGGTTTCCAGCCCCCCCATCTCATTTCGCTTTCTTCCCTCTTAGGCCTTTCACCCCTGGACTGCCTCTCCACAAACCAGAACATCTGCATTCTCCACAACGCCATTTCCTTCACCTCCCTTTCCAGGAGGCCACAACTCTTCCTCGGCACCTGACCCGAGTTCGCCCTTTCGGACCCGGCCCCGAACCCCGTTTCTAACGCCGTCTGTCCTGTCAGGCTGCCGCCTGCCCCTCCGGGCTTCTCCTGCCCCGATCCCGGCGGGGGGACGTGGGCTCCGAGCCACACCACCTTCACCGAGACGCCCAAAGCATCTCGGGGCCCCCGGCTCTGGGGTCCGTCCTGGCTCCCCCCCTCTTCGCCTCGGGTCCCCTCGCGCCCCCTCCTCACGGCCGCCTCCAGCCGCATCGGACTAGAGCGGCAGCGGCCACGGAGGCCGGGCCCACCCCTGGTCCCACAGCCGACGGGCAGACGCTCACCGTTGTGTATTCAAAGTAGTAAAGGCAGTTGTCGGTCAGAATAAACCAGCGCCTTTTCCAAGTCTTGACCCTGCCACCTGCAGAGCAAAAAGAGACGCGTGTCCGACAGGAGGCCGGCAGGCCGCAGCGGGCTCCGTGACGCACGAGACTCTCCCCTCGAAGAGCGTGAGGGGGGAGGAAGCGGGGGCAGGCACCAGGGGAACATGGAGGCCATGGCAAAATTTACATCCGTGACAAGACACAGAGCCAGAACAGAAGCGCCTTTCACAGAGTGAAAGTCCGTGGGAGCAAGCACAGCAAGCAGGTCGGGCGGCCCCCGGAGATGAGCTCGGGATGGTGGGATGACAGCATGGCTTCGGGGAGGGATGCCCAGGCGAGGAGGACACGCAGGGCGAGCCTGACTGGGCCGGAGACGCGCCAGCAGAAGCCCACCGGCGTGGCGGGGACGGGCCCACAGAAGAGAAAGGGGGGAGAGGGGCAGCCCCGGCCCGAGCTACACTGGCAGGTCACCCGGCCCGGGGCGCACGTGGACGGGCTCCGCGGGAGGGGGCGGGAGGGAAGAAAGGGGGACTCAGACGTGTTAACCCCTTCGGGGGCAAATCTACAGGTTTCCTGGAGACCCCCGTGGTTTCGCCCTCTACCCCACCTTCCTGATTCGAGTGAGCTTCTACTCTGGCTTCCCAGCTTCTGAGGGCCGGTGTCCTACCAATGGAACCTCCCCAGAGTCCTGGACCAGCCCAGGCGCAAAAAGCGCTCAAGGACCTCCCCAGCCCGGGCTCCCCACCTGGAGCTCCGGACATGACGGGCTGGAGGAGGGGCCGCAGGCCAGACGGGCGCTAAGAGCAGTGGCCGCGAGCGCCCGGGGCCCCTTCACCCTCCGCGAGGTCTGAGTGAGACCGCAACGCGGAGGCCGCGCTCCTACGCGGAGGGGGACACTGGGGAGCGAGGCTCAGCCGCGAGCGGTTTCAGTGAAGCCACGTGTGCGCCCCTCGCGGCCGTGAGCCGAGCCCGTCCCAACCCCGCCCGCGTCGGGCAAGGGGCGGCTTTCTGGACGCGAAGCCCACAGGAGTTAGGCCAAGGCCTTCTCGTGCCGTGACACGCGTGCCGTTTTGGAAGCACTTCCTGCTGCCCCAGCAGCACGTGCTCTTGTGGAGACTCTGCCTACAGAGAACATCACTCCCTCGCGCCTCGCAAAGGCCTCTGGGGTGCAGAGCTCTCCTGCCCCTCGCCAGAGGCGGCTGAGAGCAGCGTGCCTGTAAGGCTGTGCCGCCAGGTGCGAGGATGCTTCCCGACGGGGCGTGAGCACTGCCCGTCGTGTGACGGGAACGACGCGCCCAGCGCTGGTCCCGGCATCAAGCGGGACCGTGGGGCTTTCCGATCCCTCTTCCGGCTCTGTGTGGGGGCCCGAACCCCGGGGAGGTTAAGGGACCCATCGCAAGGGGCCACGGTTCTAAGCGGCACAGACCCAGCTTACGAAGGGCTCTGCCATCAGCACGCGCACGCAGCCCACCCGCCGGGGGCCCTGTGCCAGCGCCAAGCGAGGACGGACCCCCTGCGGCCGTTTGCCAGTTGAGGTGAGCCTGTGCCTCCGGTCCCTAAGGCCCTAGGGCATGAATCAGGAGAAAAACCACAGGTGGAAATAGGACATGCATGTGGAAAATGGGAAAGGCTGGGCAGCATCGAAACAAACGAGGATGGCAAAGAAAACAAGGAATATATTTAGAACTGGAGCCGATATGTTATAAAAAGGAAGCCCCCTCCCCCACTCGAGGGCCTGAGAAATCGGCTCTTCTGCCTCGTGGGCCGTCACCCCCACGCAGGGCTCTGTACACGGGACACCTCGACCATGCTGACTCCCATGCGCTCCCCCCACAGGACCACCCAGGGGCACTCGGGGCTTCGGAGGGCATGGAGGAGGGGTCAGATGCGGAAAGGAAGAAGGCGGAAGGAAATCTAGGAGGAAAAGCGAAGCCGGGAAGATTCCCTCCCTGATTATGAAAGCTTGATTTCCCCTGACAATCTGCTGCGTTACAGAGACCTCTGCTGTGAGGGATCACGGAGGTCGCTGGGGGACATTTCCATGTTGAAAGAAACAGACATGAAACAAGCAGACAGACCAATGCGCGCACCTAGGACAGTCCCTGTGGAACTCACAGGACCCCTCCCACCCCCGTCACGGCCAGGCGCCCTCTTCCCTAGAGCTGACAACCCCCCAGAAGGTTCTAACGAATGTCACTGTCGGGGCTGTTCATTCTACGTGCAGCTCTCCGCTCGAGTAACGCTGGAGCACACACTTGAGGGGCTCCTCCTCTAGGAAAAACATACTCCCCAAATCAGCAAACGGAGAAGAGATACCAACAACATGACTAAAGGGCCAATTTTGGGTTTTGAACAATAGTCATTGAAAAAGAGGAGGGAGAAAAACAGAACATGAAATACGGAGCCGAGGGCGTAATGCGGTCCCCTCATCCCCAGGACTTCTGGGAGGGGCTTCTGGGTTTTGTCTTTTTTTTTCCAAGTTGGCATCGCTTTGAGTTTAGGAGATGCCGTTTCCCTGTTTCACGCAAAGGCAAATGTCCCGAACTGTGTCATTCACTTCCTGTCCCGGTGTGCCTTCTGCTCAGGACATACCAGAAGCACATGCGGCACTGGGAAGGCAAACCTCCCTCCCCTTCCTCCTCTTCTCCGCCTGAGAAATTACCGTAATTCACAGGTGCCAATTTGAATGCAACGCACACAGGATTCGCCTGGCCAGTCATTCCAAGGCAAAATCCAGTGAATTCTCCCTCTGCTTTTAGAAACCCACCCTTCGGAGGTTTTCCTGCATTACCGCCGTCAGTAAAGTTTCCGTTATTCCACGGCCTGGTACCTAGCTGTCTGATGCACCGTGTACTCGTCCTGAAAGGGACACCGTGAACCCCTGAGCCTGACCAGTTCCCTAGGGACTGTACAGTAAGTTAGAAGCAGCATTAACACTACCACCAGCGATTAAAAAACAAAATGACCGAAAGGGACAAAATAAGAAAACGCTGCGGCAAATAGAGTGGCCTTGGCAGAGCGAGCGAGCAGGTGGGGGGGGGGGGGGGGGGGGGGCGGTTACATACCTCCTGGAGTTTGGGGCAAGGAAAAGGACAGCCAAAATCATGGAAACATACAAATGAGGGAGAAAAGAAAATTAAAACAAAGAAATTAAACCCGACTCCTTCACCTTTAAGTGCAACGTATTAGTCATTCACGTCTGCCTGGGGGAGTCAAAATCGAAAATCCCTAGCGGGACACCCGCCACTGCCTGGCGCGTGAAGGGGGCAGCCGGTTCGAACCGCCACACGCCAGCCGGGGAAGGCAGTGTCCGCGGCGCCACCGAAAACCGGGCCCCCAAAATGCTACAGGTCGGTCCTCACAAAGCTAACGTTTATCAGCACATCCAGAGTCTAGGGCTGAGAGAGTCTGACGACTACTCCGGGGAAAGTTTACTGTCTTTCTGCAGATGCCGACCACTTTGTGAAGCGTGTGCAAGAATGCGCACACACGTTCCCATGAATACATACGTACATGTGTGTGCACACGAGAACACGCGTTCTTACAGCTATCTGCAAACACAGACACACACACACACACCGCTGCAGGCGGCCGGAGGCCCTGCCTTCCGCAGCCTGTGAGCACACGGGGGTGAGTCTAAGTGGCCACAACGAAAACACGATGCGAACGGTCGGTTCCTGGTTCGGAGGAGGTTTAGAAAAGGTAATTCGAGGACCTGAAAACAAGTCCCACATTCCGTTCATGTTTTTTCCTTTTAAAAATACAGGATGCCTCATGAATTTACATGCCATCCTGGTGCAAGAGCCAAGATCTTCTCTGCACTGTTCTAATTTTAGCACCTGGGCTGTCAAAGCTACCACTCAGCATTAGCGCCGAAACAAATTTCACTGGAGGGGAAGTAAATCCAAGCTGGGGTGTATTTTCCCATTTCCAGCGGGTTTCCTCTTAGCTCGACCCGCCGGGCAGTCAAGACACAGAGCGGGACGGCGGTCTCTGGGGTGAGCGACTTTAGAGCCTTATCTTCAAAGGTTCTACTGGCTTCTGAACACAGGAGAAATGCTGACTCACTCGAGAGATGGTCAAGCCTCTGACCAGTGCTTGGAGGAGGATTTATAAATTAAGTCATTAGACCGAAACACAAGGACTTGGGACATGCTTTTTAAAGGAAACAGAAATCCTACCGCCGCCTGAACTGGTCAGAAATGAACGATTCCGTTTCAGCGGCTCCCAGAGGTGTCAGAGCAAGAGAGAAACAGCTTCTGACTTCACCGGGACTAGCGGCTGAAACGGTAGAGGGGGATCATTCTAGCAAACGCCTCCTGACGATGAGGGAACCGTGCGTCAAAAGGCGGAGGCACAAGAAAACAGGAACGTACGTGTTCTCTCAGGGCCAAAACACCGCTGTGACTATGTCCAGGGGCTCTCCCCGTGTTCTGGAACAATTAACGAAATAGTCACGTGTGGGCACGAATGTCACGAAAACCCTACTGCTTCTCCTTTTGGTTACTCCGTCACCTGCACACGAGGCAGGACCACAGACCTCAGCCACATGGCCTCACTTCTGGCAGAGGGAAGACGAATACTTTTTTTCGTTCTTTTTGGGAATGGGAAAAAAAAAAAAAAACATTGGGGGGCTGATTTGGCTGGAGAGGAGGCGGGGGCGGGGGGACCACTGCCCGAGAAGGAGGAAGACCGCTGTGGGTGGCGCTGCAGCCAAGGGCTCAGGTTTGCCATGCACACTGCCTGTGGGAGCCGGATGCAGGGGGAGGTGATGATGCGCTGGGGGGGGAGGGGGAGGCGGGAGCACCAGATACGCTTGGTGTGACGGCAAGAAAAGAGACGGACGCCGCTGGCCACCACCCTCCCGGGGACTGAGAGGGCGGAGAGAGGAAGAGGGCCAGGTCCTCTGGGAAATGCCTCGCGACAAAACCCGGTCGATCACCTCCGGAGTCAAACCGTGGAGCGCGCGCCCACGGGAGCCGTGTTCACGCAGAGTGAGTCTGTCCCCAGCGGTATCTACATAGCCCACGGGGGCACCGCGCGGACCGTGCGTTCGCTTCCCCTCTGGAGGCAGAGCTTGCTGGGAGAATGCGACTTCACAGCAACTCGTCTGCACTCCCCACAGCGCCTCCTGTCACCAACCCCCACCACCCCACAGCGCACGTGTGTGTGCGCGCGCGCGCACGCGCGCATGCGTGCGGCCGTCCTAAGACTCCGCGTCGGGAATCCTGACCCAGAGTGCGTCACTTACCGAGTTTCAACAGCCAGCCTTCTCGGTCTGGATTGAAGAAAGTGTGGGTGAGGTCATTCCCGTCGTCTTCTGGGATTTTAAACGGTTCGTTTTTTATGCTCTCATACAGATTCTGGGATGAAAGAGGACACTGCATGTCTCTGGTTCTAGAAGGATCTTCCCCCTCCCCTTTCTCTTCATTCATGCAATAAGCACGTGTTACGGGCCACACGTCTGTTAGGCACCAAGAACAGCAGAGCGTGACCAGTGCTGCCCTCAGGCGGCTCCCAGGGACAAAATAAATAAGGTGCCTAGTGGATAATTAGGAGAGAAAGGAAAGTAGCCGGACTTGCACTCGCACTTTGACATTCAGACTCCTAAACCACTGCCCTGTCCCCCAGCGAGCCCCCCGGCCGGCCACACTGCCTGCGCCTTCATGGAATTCACACACTTAAGCGACAGGCCTTTCTCCTGTCCCCGTCCCCGTCTCCCGGTCAGAGCGCGCTCACCCGGAGCAGCTCCTCGGGCAGATCTCCTCCGTCGTTGATGCCGCGATTCATGGCGATGAACCTCTCCACGGTGGGCTTGTCTTTGACGTTGGGGTTGTGCAGGCTGGTGTTCAACATGATGATGGCAAACGAGAGGACGTAACAAGTGTCTAAAGAGAAAAGCAAACAAACGATCAGAAACATCCCACCTGAGGGAACAAGAAATACCCAACGAGATCAAGAACACAAGACGTGCTCTCGAAAGAACGAGACCGATCCTCACGCCCGGACGCCCTCTAACTGAAAGTTACATACCACTAACCCAAGAGGGCGGGACACAAAACGGCGCGGCGACTGTTCAGGCCTTAAAGGGGATTATTGTTCAGATCGCTAAGGGAGGGCGGGTACTCCGCAGACAACCCGAAAAACAGCACAACGTACAAGAAAGAAAACACAGAACACCTATGATGCCGCCACCCGGTAACAACTTATTTCCTCCATCCCACGAGCGAACGGACGTGCCCACCGGCAGCACGTGACTAACGTACCTCAGGACGCACCCTCCTGACGGAACTGGAATCGGAACAGACACGCTGTTTTCGATCCTGCCATCTTGCTAGCCTTTAGCATTCTCTCGGGGCAATAAAACCTCTTTTTGTACACATAATTTTTTTTAATTCTTTTTTTCACACCGAAGCAGAGCGGACACACAGCGTTCCAGCAGTTTCGGGCGCACGGCACACTGCACGTTACCCCCGCCTGTCACCACAGCGGGATCACGGTGGTATTGACTGGAGTTCCTATGCTGCGCTTTTCGAACTTCTAGTTACAAGATAAGCCAGCCCCGGAGATGAAGAACGTGATTTTTAGTGGTTGCAGCACGTGGCCTCGCTCACAGACACTACGACGTGGATTCCCACCCCCTCGTCCCTCCTCCCTGGACTTTTGGATCCTTCCCAACTGCTCGCTATCGTAGCCAACGTCTCAGTCCATGTTCCCGGCGTGAACCTTTTGTTTTGGGAACTGCCCAGAGCCGAGGAAGGATCTCGTGCAAAATGGCGGTCAGCACCGGGGAGCGGGACTGCCCTACCTGTGGACTGGAACACGCCGTTATTGCACCGGCAGTATCGCTGGGCGAACGCCTCCATCATGCGGTCGATCTTCTGGGCCTCTCCCGGCAGCCGGAAGCTCCACAGGAACTGCCTGAGTGGCGAGGACGGGCTGCGTCACTGGGCGGGGCCCGGGGAGACCCCCCGCCTTCCGCAGGTACGGCTGTTAACACTCCCCGTGGATTTGAATCCCAAGGGACGGAGGGAAACCTGCTGGCTGCTAGCTTCTGAAGTGCGGCAACCACTGACTTCCTACCCTAAGACGGGGAATCAAAGGGTTTTCCAAGCCGAAAATTAGAAAAAAAATTCACGGGGCGCCTGGGTGGCTCAGTCGCGTAAGCGTCCGACTCCGGCTCCGGTCACGATCTCACAGCTCGTGGGTTCGAGCCCTGCGCTGGGCTCTGTGCTGACAGCTCAGAGCCTGGAATCTGCTTCCGATTCTGTGTCTCCCTCTCTCTGTGCCCCTCCCACCTTCTGGGGCGCCCTCCTCAAACTCACTCACCGTAACGCTTGGACAAGGTTAAGGTCAGTGAACTCATGTAACTCCACAAACGCGTGAAGAACCTGGATATTAAACTCGTCTCTATCAAGAGAAACAAAAGATGCGGGGGGTGGGGGGGAGCGGAAGTCAGGCACCGACTCTGAGAATCAGGCCGTCCCCAGCCAGGCAGTGTTCCATGCTGAGTGCCACGGTCCCGCGGGCTCCGCACACACGGCAAGGAAGGAGCCACGTCCCTCTGTCCCCACGCCTCCGCGACGCCAGCCACTATTCCCCAGAAGAACCCTCTCCGTGCCAGTGTGGCTACCGCTGGCGTAGGACAAGACTCTCTTCAAGGACTCAGAGCCTCCCGGAACTCCTGACCTACCCACTCTGCCACAGGTGTCTCTCCAGGCCTTACCTCTCCCCCAGGTAGTCACCAATGGCTGTCTTGTTGAGGCCTTCCCCTTTGTACAAGAACTGGGCGAGGTCCTCGCAAGCGTTCTTCAGCAGGTCGTTCTCTATCAAGAACTGGATCCCCTAGAAAAGGCAGCACAGACGCCAACGACGCTCACCCAGGAAACATCCAGAAAGGAGGCGGAAGGGCAGACAAGAGCGGGTGTGGGCACTCTGGACACACGGGAAGTGTCTAATAAGTACGCGGCGGCTGACACACGGGGTCGGGGGAGCCCCCTGAGGAGCCACGGCTTAGCGCGGACCACGTGACACGTGCTCTACAGAAGGGCAGGGAGCTGGGACGGGGGCCGCGGAACTCTACCGAGCGCTGCAGAGACCCCGTCGTAGAGCCCGCGGGCTCCGGCAGCACCTCACCTTTTTAGGGTCCATGTTAAACTTCTTCCTGCCCATGGCCACCTGCTTGTTCCTCTGCATGTTCTTCCTGAAAAACAACCAGCACGGCCGTGTGGGTGCGCCAGGCGGTCGGGAAGTTCTGAGGGACCGCCATCGTCCCCACCTGCATCCGTCGGCCGGCTCACAGGGATTTCTGAAAACCCTACCCAGGGAAGCACGGGCCCACGTAGGTCTCAGCGTGGCAGGTCGGCTGGAATCGTGACCCTGACGCCACGTTCATTTGCTCCTTCTACCCCACCCGTTTCCTTTTTTTTTAACGTGACTTTTAAAGAAACTTCATTAAGGTCGCATGTACACATCATACGATAAACCCAACTTAACTGTACATTCGAACGACTTCTCGTAAGCTCACGGGGCGGTGCAACCATCACCATAACCAGCCGTAGAGCATTTTCACCACCGGCAAGGGTGCGCTGTGTGAGCTCATCGTGCGTTACCTCCCTCCGCCCGTCCCTTGGCCCACGGGACAAAGGCCCGTGGCCTGCAGCCGCCTCCCGTTGGCACCGTGTGACGTCAGAGCGCAGGAAGCACTCCCACACACGCCTTTTTCTGCGCACGCGTTCATCTCCCTCGAATGAACAGCGGGGCGCCGACCTGCCGGCCACGGCACGGGCGTCAGCCTCACGTTACAAGAAAGTGCCACGCCCGTCTCCCCACGGCCACGCGACTCTATCCCCAGCGCTCGCCGACACCAGGGACCCCCGGCCCACTCTCATCTGGGCCGTCTTCTCGTTACTGATTAGCACGTGTTCCACATACACATTCTAGAGGCAAATCCTATTTCAGACACGCGTATTGCAAATGTTTCTCCTGGTCTGTGGCTTACCTAGTCCTTTCTTTTCACAGCATCTTTAAGAGCACAAGCTTTAAATTTTGACGAACCCTAATTTATCCGCTGCTTTAAAGCTACAAATTTTTGTAATGGCAAGTAAGAAGGTTATAATCCCAAAGTGACAACACGGGGCCTGAAAGTGATGAGCTGGCCACTTTCTGCAGAACGTGGGTTACACTAATCTCTAATGGCACCTCCCACACCCGCTTAAAATAACAAAATCAGATGGTCTTAGGAAGCCAGACAGGGGACTTAGGCTTAGAAAAATACAGACGTGTAGTGAGTTAGACACAGCCCCGTTATCGCATTAAGTACTTAGAAAACGGTCTGGGAACCCCATTCAAAATTAAACTCTGGAGTCACTGACGCTTCACGTGGTTAACCTGCAAACGCTCCTTGTGTGGCGCTACAATGTCCTGTCTACGCGCTCTCCTCCTTGGAAATGGTGCAGGCAGCCTTAAGCTTTTCCTTGGCACAAAGGGAAAACAGAAACTCTAAAATGCCAACACCACGGACAACGAGGGAAGAAACGGCAGTGACCACAGTCATTTAAGGGCTATTTCAGGCTTTGGGGGCCTTCGGGGTTCTCTGGCTCCACCCCTGCACCCTGCAGTGATGTGGAAAGCCCCCATGGTCAGAGCCCCCGCACTGAAGGACCCCAGGGGGTGCGTGTGCTTACTGGGGACCGAGGACAGAAAGTGCACTTTCTCCGTCCGTGTGCCGCAAGCAGGGGCTGGACAGACTCACCTTTCTTCTGTGGACCCCAGGGTTTCGATTTCATTAGCCACGTCTGCTATCTCATCCTTCAGCCTCTACAAAACAGACAGCCCGGAATTACCAGGAGGGCCTGGCGTATCTCCTAGAACTCCCCCCAACCAAAACAAGAGCAAATAAACCAAAACGAAATAAAGACAAACCAGGGAAAAAAAAAAA